AACTGAGGCCAGATCATCACTCCTGAATGACGAGGGCTTTGAAGATGCTCGAAAGGACCCTGGCTTTCACCCTGAAGGACAGGGAGCCACTGAAGGACTGAGCAGAGCAAGGGCGCCTGACATGGATTCCAGAAGGCCTACTCTGACAGCGGCCGTGGACTAAGTGTCGCGATGGGCAAAGGTGCGACTTACGAAGTTGAGTAGGGAAATAGAGAATGTCCACGTGCTTCTGCCCTTATCAATGTTTTATTCACTTGAAATCACTCAATACAATTCACTCAGTAGGTTCTGAATCAAGAAAATGACAATCCTTAATGCTGGGCACTGCAATAGACGTAATCAACTCAAAGCAAACAGTTCTGCGTTAACTCGAAGCACTGGAAACACACTTATTCATGACAGACTTGATGCAGACATTCCCTCTGCACGCTAGGCTCAAGTGCCAGATCTAGAGTCTCAAGTCTTAGGCCTTAAGTCCAGCAGATGCTCACTCTCTCAGACTACAGAGATCAGGTCAGGAACCATGGAGGCTTCTCCTGGTGTGGAGTTGACGGCTGGTTGAGGAGATGGTCCTAAGGAGAAGTCGCCCTTCTCACCAGGGTCAGGAGTTTGAGATGGGTGAGGACCATGCAGAGGATCAGGCAGACGATGAGAAGAGTTGGGATGTCAGTCCAGGTCCTCATCAGGCTCTCCTGAATGTCTGTTCATTTGCTCCATTATTTATACTAAATTTGGGGGCTTCTGCTCGTCCTTTAGGTCCCTATCAGCTGTTACCAGGGTTCTTGGTGACATCTTACATTTTAGAGCCAGGACATATGGTTCTAAGGATCTTACACCTCTGACTGTTATCAGGGTGAAGGCAAATGACCTGTGACTTCACCCTGACTCTTATCAGGGTTGTGGAAAGTGACTCGTTTTTATCAGGCTATGCCCGAGGACATATGGGAGGGCTCTGTAAACTTGTGCCTGGTGGGACTGCAGGTTTATTTTTAAATGGAGTGGCTTAGGCCAAGGCCATCTTTACCCAAAGGCGCAGGAAAGAATCCCAGCAATGGGGGATATATTAATTTCCTAGGGCAGTGCAATAAACTCTCACCAACTGGATGGCTTAAAACAAGAAAGGTTTATTTTCTTTCAGTTCTGGAAGCCAGAAGTCCCAACCCTGGGATGACGGGGTTAGTTCCTCCCAGAGGCTCTGTGGGAGGTTCCGTTCCACACCTCTCTCAGAGCTGGCTGCGGCCGGCGACACTTGGTGTTCCTTGGATTGTAGACATTCTGTTCCGATTTCTAACTCTCTCTTCCTGTGGCTTTCCCAGCAGGGTCTCTCTGTGTCTCTCCTTTTCTGTCTCATAAAGGAATACTCTTCCTTGGACTTCTAAACCAGGAAAATCTCATCGCAAATCTCTAACTTAATTACGTTGGAATAATCACATTACTCCAAACAAAGGTGTGTTCTAAGATTCTAGGTGACCAATATTGGAGGCCATTTTTCAATCTAGTACAGCAGGTATTCGGGTCATTCAGACTCAGGGCATTAGATTGGGGTGGGCAGAAGTCCAATTCTGAGGTTCTTGGAGAGGGGAGGTTCTATGTGTTTGGCTGACTTTGTGTCCTGGAGTCCCAGAACAATGCCTCCTACTGATCCATGAATGTTTGCGTTATTCTGAAATAGTATGCCTTCTGTCCTCCCTTGTACAGAAGGCAGTGGCTGGGCAATGGTTCAGAGCCAGGAATGCCAGGTCTTCACTGAGGCATGTCCCTGTAGCTCGGGCCCTTTTCCATGAAATCTCAGTGCCATCCCTTGTCCCTGCTCTAACTTTACATAACCCTGACTGTGAGGACACCCAGGTCACCTCTACACGTGCACTTGTGGTATGGTTATGTTCTCTGCCGAAGCCTTTTCTGCCAGGCCCTATAATCCACTGATCAACTCACCCAGGTGGACAAGGAGCATTTCCTGTCTTTGAATTCAGCAAAACCCAGACCGTTGCATCCTGTGGCTGTAATACCGCCTTGGTTGGATCAAGTAACTGTTGACTGATTATTTGAAAGACCTGGGAAAGGCCAGGAAACAAAAGTCTTTAGCCTCCTTATTTACCCTATAGTCTCTTCTATAGGACAGAGTGTGTCTACGGAGCTCCCAGACCTGCCTGTGTCTGATCACATGGTGGTGGCTGTAATGTGTCCTGAGGGTTCTGCTTTGCCCAAGTTCTGTGATTTCTTTCTGAAGGATGGAGAAGCTCTTCCATCCCTTATTCCACAGGAAAACTCACATGGTAATTCGGTATCCTCATTCCCAGGGGTCCTTCTTAGGGCACCGGATATAGCTGCACAGGGGAGTCACCTGGGGAAATCTTTAAATATGCAGAGGCCTGGACCCCAGCCTACAGATAAAGATTTAGCTCTTGTAAGCTGGGGCCGGGCACTGGAATTTGTGAAATCTCCCAGATAATTCTAATATGTAATAAAGTTTGAAAATCACAGCATACAACGGGCCTCAGCTGATATCAATTATTGATTTTGGTGGGGCCATTTGTCTATCTGAACTTTTTGTGTGAGAAAAAATCCCAGTAAGCTCGATAATTCTGCAGGAAACTCCCCATTACCAATAACACATGCTGCTGTAGGGCCAGCTGGAGTCACATGCAAATCAGTCAGGAGTTAGTTATGAGAAGGAATTTGGCCGGGAGTAACCTTTCTCTCCCAGTGGAATTTTACTATTTTAACACTACTCTTCACATTCAGTCTGGGAGAAGCAACTTTTATCAGAATTTTCTGGAGAAACCACCAAAGCAAGAGTTAAAGTAGCATGGCAATATTTTTCCTTCCACAAACATCTTGGGAGGCTAAGGCAGTCCTTTGGAATTAAATGTCTAGTTCTTAAGCCAAAGTAAAGTTAGCTCCTTGGACCGTGATCATTTCCATTTTTCCTCGAACACGTAAACAGAGCAGCTTCCTTCCAGTTGTGTGCTAGGAAATCTTGTGCCTTGAGACAGCCTCAGACTTTGTTATGAAGTAGGAAGGAGAGAAGTGAATGCTGGCCTGGGTCCACCTGAGGAATCCCAGGGTCCAGAAGCAGGACATGGATGCTCATGCTGGGATTTCATGGTTTGAAGGTTCCCATGGGCTACAATTTGTCCCCAGAGACGAAACAACCAGACGGGCTGCTGCTTTCTAACAGTAATTCCACCTTGACACATTGTACACAAATTGACCAAAATAGACTTCAGCGATTTTCAAATTTTTCTGGAACTTTTTAATTATTCTGCTGGACACCAGAAGGCCCTGCTGGCCTCTGGGGGGGAGGCTCCTGACTTTGGAAGTTTTTCTTAAAGGAATCACTTGAGGAGATGCCCTTGTTCTTCACCAACGTGGGAGGATTTCTATCTAAGAGGACCTCAGTGCCCACAAAGAATTTTCATATGCTTGGGAAAGAGTAGAAACTTCTCTTTTTCCCATGACTGCTTGCTTCTGAAGCCAGAATTAAATATGCAGAGGCCAGTCAGTAATAATAATAAGAGAGCCAGTCAGTATAGATAGATAAATCGGGTCAGATCTGATCAAAGAGGCCAATTTGGGTCAGAGAAGTTGGAGAGGGATTGAAATGTTAATGCCTTCAGGGCCCTTCTTCCACCCTTATCCAGATAACCTGCCCCTGCTCCAACCTGTTGCTAAGGTAACCTGTCCCAGGGATTGTCCCTCCCTACAGGTAATAACAGTTGTTATATAATGCTCCCCCCAGACCCCCTTCCTGCCCAGATCACTCCACCTTGGCACTCCAGCCCATCTGCTTCTCGCCTTTTGACCATCTCAGCAGGAACATCTCCTGGGCCTAGTCATATACACAGGAAGGAGAGAGATAAGGGGAAGAGAGCAGGAGAACAAAGAAAATTTAGGATGCATAAAAAGGTAGACCAGGCTCACTTCTTGGGATACCAGGATACCAGCTATGGCCCCCTTCTCCCTTCCGAAGAAATTACCCCTTTTAAATAAACCCTGCTTTATATGCTTGCCTCGGCACGCTTCTCTAATGTTCAAACTTCATCATGTGGGGAAGCAGAACTTGTCACCAGTAACCGACGGTATCACTTCTCCTGAGGCTCCCGTCTTTACCAACGCCACGAGAAACACAAATGTTGATTTTTCTAGTTAATGGTAATCCAGATGGTCTAAAGTCACAATTTCCTCTCATGGCAATTCCCACGCCTGCCCAGGGTAGCCAAGGAAAAATAATTTTCTCTCTGCCCTTTCTAATTCTTGGTAGGACCTTTGTAACCAAAGCTTCATCAACAAGAGAAAAGCAAGCAGAAGCGTGTTCACCTGCATCCCTCATGTACCCAGGGGCCAAATCCAAGGATAATGAGTAAATCCCCAAGAGGGGGCTTAGACTTCTGGCTTAAATATCATCTTCATATGAAACAAAGAAAAAAAGTACAGGAAGGACAGTTATGGAGAGAAGACCAGAAAAATTATAGCAAACAAGGGCAGGAGTGTTAGGCAGATTCGGATCCCAGCCTTTTCCAGGGAGTAGAGCTTTTGGTTATCAATGCAAATTTCCATTACAAAGCAACTTCCCTCATTTTCAGAGCTAATCCTGAATCCTCAGTTTCTCAAAGGAATCCATAAGGAAATCCACATGTAGCAAAATGAAATTAGACCCCCATCTCTCACCCTGCCCAAAACTCAACTTGTGGGGAGCCACTCTGAGTGACCTGCACCCTCCATCCTGAAGCAAGAGGCTCTGACCCATCACTACATTTTTTATAGCATATGTTTAATTGTATGAACATTATTCATTCAGATAAAAAAAATGATGGCATAAAAATAATTTAAAGTTGGTTCGACCATAAATTTGTAAGTGTATTTACCAGGAGCAAAAACAGAGACTATTAAAATAAGCTACAAAGGTAACACATGTTAAAGTTTTTGTAACTGTCGGAAAGGCATATATCTAAATCTGATGCAGAATTCTTGAAAGTTCTTTTCTTAGCTACATGGTGCTATGAGTCTGGAAGAGACTGATTATGGGTACCACTTCTTGTCTTCAGTTGTGATTGAGCGACGTCAGCAAGTGCACTTTGTATCTTTTCCAGAAGCATATCCCCTCGATAAACAACATCTTCCAGACATGTAGCAGCTTCATGATTTTCTTCTTCTAGCTTATATAAGCTAACAGCCTGTAAAGCAGCTGTAGATTCTTCACTGGGTAAGGAGTCTATCAAAACATCAATGTCTTTTGCTGTTCGTGCAATCAGTGCAGCAAAAAGCTGGGCATATTCTTCTGTAGAATTAGCTGGCTGGTCTTTGTTAATTGCTATCTGAATATTATTAAAAGAGGCAGGAGGACCACATTGTTGCAACACTCCAATGGCATTACAAAACTGACTTGCAAACGATGCAGCTGCGTGGATCCCTACATTTCTAAGTGACTTGGGAGTTGTTCCAGCTCAGAAAGTCAAGGGCGTGTCTTCAGATGTTGGTGTCACCCCTTGGGTTGAATTACAGTCACCTGTCCTTTGTAACTCTGGCCCTTCTGGCCTTTTTTGGATAGAACTTTCTAAAAACAAGGATTCCCCCAATAAAAGCCCACTTTGGAATGTGCTCGCTGTCTCCCCAGCCTCTCGTGACTTTCTCTTGCTCTCCCATTTGGGGAGCCTGAGGCTGAGAGTGGAGAAGCCGTCCTGAAGCTTGTTTAAAGGTAAAGTGTGTGTCTGTGTTTTTTTTTTTTTTTTTTGTGTGTGTGTGTCTGTGTTTTATTTGGTGTCCCTGAAAATTCACATGAGTGACCTTGAGTTCAGCTGCCTGCACAGGTCGGGGGCAGCATCAAAGTGGATCAAGGACTTAGGCATTAGACCAGAGACCCAACTCTCCATCATGTTGGCTTAGGAACTGAATTCCTCAGCAAGACTCCCAGAGCTCAGAAGTAAAATCAAAAATCAATAAGGATGGTATCAAACTAAAAAGTTTCTTCACAGCAAAGGAAACAATCAAAAACGTAAAGAGAGAGTCTACAGAGTGGGAGAAAATCTTTGCCACCTGCACCTTAGTTAGAGCATTAATCTCCAGGATATACAAAGAATTTAAAAAACTTTATATCAGAAAAGCAAATGGGCAAAGGAACTGAACAGACACTTCACAAAAGAAGAAATATGATCAGTCAACAAATATATGAAAAAATGTTCAACGTCTCTAGCAATTAGAGAAACGCAAATTAAAACCACACTGAGATTCCATCTCACCCCAGTCAGAATGGAAATTATCAAGAATATGAGTAACAATACATGTTGGTTAGAATGTGGGGGGAAAGGTACACTCATGCATTGCTGGTGGGACTGCAAATTGGTGCAACCATCTGGAAAGCAGTATGGAGATTCCTCAGAAAACTTGGAATGGAACCACCATTTGATCCAGTTACCCCACTTGGCATATACACAAAGAACTTAAAATCAGCATACTACAGTGACACAGCCACATTAATGTTTACAGCAGCTCAATCCACAATGGCAAAGATATGGAACCAACCTAGGTACCCTTCAACAGATGAATGGATTTTCTTTACCCATTCATCTGTTGAAGGGTACCTAGGTTGGAATATATACACAATGGAATATTACTCAGCCATAAATAAGAATGAAATTATGGCATTTGCAGGTAAAAAGATGGAACTGGATACTATCATAGTAAATGAAATAAGCCAGTCCCCAAAACCAAAGTCCAAATATTCTCTCTGATATGTGGATGCTAACACACAATAAGAGGGAGGGAGAGAATAGAAGTTCATTGGATTAGACAGAGGGGAATGAAGGGAAGGGAGGGGGATAGGAAAGACAGTAGAATGAATTGGACATAAGTGTCCTATAACCATGTATGAATACACAGCCAGTGTAACTCCACATCATGTACAGTCATAAGAAAGGAAGTTATACTCCATGTATCTATAATATGTCAAATACATTCTACTGTCATGTATATATCTAAAAAGAACAAATAATTTAAAAAAATTTAAATGGAGCTGGCACATTCTGTCTCTTACACCATGTTATTCCAGTGGAACTGAGCAGGGTGGGACTGGCCTGTGTGCCATCCTTCCCTGCTGACTATCACTCACACTTGGGGGTCCCCACTCAGCTCCCTGGAATGATATAAAGCTTATTTTAAACTGAAAACATCTGAGTTAAGACACGGAAAGAAATCTTATGTGAACTTCCCTTAAACCCTTCCCTCACAGGGACTTTCCTGTGAGTTTGGCTGCCATGGAGACAGATTTCTATTAGCATCCAAAAGACCAACAGAACCTTCCATACCTTGCCACCAAAAGCCCTAACCACACACACACACACACACACACACACACACACGTTGAGAGCCACAGCCGAAGGGGCCCCAGCAAACTTCCAGCTGCCAGCTGACGATTGGCTCACAGCGGCCCCAGCAACTTCTAGCTGATTGGCTCCTCTGCGGTGATGCTCATTGGGCTGTTTCCCTGCCCTTTCAGACTACGGAGCTGCTCATTGGGGGACTTTTTTGGCTCCTCCCACGCGACCCAGCCAATCAGCCTCAAGAGCAGGAGGAGTGGGGGAGGTGGAGAGGCTTGGGAGAAGCCCGTGGTGGCAGTTGGGCTCTGAGGGTTTTTCCTGAGGAGCTGTGTGGCACTGGTGTGTGGTTCTAAAAATAAAGTTCGTTTCTTTTGACAAGTGGCTCCTGAATTGTGCCCAGCCAGACTGCGGCACACACACATCACTTTGTTAAATGTATTATAAAGACCTTTTTATCCAAGGTTATTAAGCGAGTTAGTCATAACTGACGACTTTCACCTGAATTTTGCAGGGAAGGGAAGGTTTTCCCTCTACCCTCCCATGGGTTCCATAAACTGACTTAGGACCATGGGCCGATTAACAGGAGGAAAGGTTGACAGATGAACAGTGTGCACAGGGCCTCTGTCATGAGCCAGCTCTGTCAGTAGCATAGTGACTTTTCACAATTTGTGTCTTTTCACAATGTCCGAATTTATTGAATAACAGTAAATTCAAAGACTACGCCACTCTCACTGAACACCTGTGGGTCACAGTAGTCATAAGCCAGGCAATCACAGGATCTTTTTATTCCAATCTTAATTTCTAATATCTTTAACATTCAAGTTACACAGTACACTTTACACACACACACACAACATAGAAAGGCTAAGAAGGGGTTAAACAGCCACAGGTTCAGTAGGCTGAACTGAGATCTAAGGCAGAGAGCAGATATGAACCCAGGCCCTGTAGGTGGTCATGTGAGATTACTAACCAGCTAAAGTCCTTGTTCAGGTCCCACAGCTGTCAAAGCACAGGAACTTATTCCAGGCCAAGGTACAGATAGGGGGCGGCTTCGGCATCAGCCTGGAATGTCTGCTTGAGATGCCAGCTTGGAGTGGGACTTGCATGGTTGTCATGGGCAGGAGAAACTGTACCCTGCGGGGGCCCAAGGACAGATTTGGAGGTTTGTCACTGTGGCGATTTTCTTGGGCAAGACTTGTGATGAGTGTCCAAGTGACAAGGTCAGGGTGCCACTGTGTCCAGTCTCGGAGTGCCCCTCCTTTCTTGGGTCTCCAGTGAGAGGTGTGCATCATTTGGTGGTTGATTGTGTGACAGTAGGAGCAAATGTGACTCCATTTTGTTTTATGACTTCATCCTGTAAAACGATCATGCCAAGTAGAAGAGTCATGACTGGAGCAAGATGTTCTTTTCCTTTTGATATAGAAACCTTTAAGAACACGGAACTACCTAATGGGCATTGTTTTTGTAACTAGGGTAACGGGGCTCTGTTTCTGTAACTGGGGTGACTGGGCTAACTGTGATTGGTTAGGCTTCCCTCCGCTCGACTGCACTGTCCCGCTTCTGTAACCTGGCTTGCTTGCATTGGCTAGACCGCCTGTAAGGGTCCAGCGAAACGTCGGAGGAAGAGACTGTCTTATGAAACAGCAGAAGGGAGGGTTTATTTGGAGATCATCATGCTGGGGCTCTGAGCTCACTATAGCAAAGAGAGATAGAGCCCTGAGAACAACTTAAGCAGAGCTTATATATTTTCCTTGGAGAGGGCAGGGAGAGAAGTTACATTTTGTAGTTTGGGGACAGCTCACTCTGGGAACAAGATTAACAAACAGTTCACAGTTGGGGACAGCACATTCTGGGAACAAGAATAGCAAACAGTTCTTAAGATTTCAACAGTGTTTTGTTAAGCATATAGAAAAACGGAGTGACAAGTACCTATTTTATTAACCTTTCATTCCCCACTTCTTCTTCTGGCTACTTTTAATCATAAAAGTGATCATTGGAGGGTGTCACATTTTATGTCTGCTAGTGGGGTATATTGTTGTCTGATTACCATAAGTTTGACTTGTCCAATTTTGGGCTTGGAGAAAGGAAACTACACAGTTGAGCAAACAGGGTCCTAGAGTTAGCAACAATAAAGAATTATTAAAGGACCGGCCATTGCTGATAAAAGCATAGTTAACCAAGGGGACTGTGTGAACCAAGACTCATATCATCTTTTTTGGGCCTCTCTCTCTCGCTGACGCTCTTTAGGGCGTCTTTTTAATTTACTCATAGATTTTTTTACAACTCCAGTATGGTCGGCATAAAAACAACATTTTTCCCTCAATGTAGCACAAAGACCCTCTTCTCTCATGAAGAGGAGGTCCAACCCTCGCCTGTTCTGTAAAACAACTTCAGAGAGAAAGGTTAAAGATTCCTGCAAAGTTGTGATGGAGGTTTCTAATATCTTTAAGTTTTGGTCCATTGCTGTTTCTAATTGGGTCATTTGTTGTGTCCCACAGACCAGGGCAGTGGTCCCTGTGCCCACCCCTGCAGCAATTCCCATTCCTAATAAGATGGCTAAAGTGAGGGATACAGGTTCCCGGCGAAACTGGGTTGTATGCCCCCCTATTTGATCTTTAAATGAACCTGCATCATGATAGAGCACTCTGGGAAACATCTGCACCATTATACAATTAATTACATCTGTTGACCATTTTATGAAAACATGAATAATGTTTAATTATATAGAATTATACTGTTGTAGGGACGGACAAGGTAAGGCACCTAAGATAGCACTGAAGACAGGGAAACAGTCCTATTTGGTTGCAACTGGATTTAGAGGGCATTGCTTCTGTTGTAATCAATTAATCCCCTGAACCCCAAGTTTAGGTAGTTTCAGAATTTTGTACTCAACATGTAAGGGAAGGGGCTCAGAAGTTTACAGTCTGCAGAAGTTCACAAAAAGCAGTTTTTGTTTCTTTTTTTTTTCTGCCAGCTGTTACC